AAAATATACTTTCAAACCTTTCTCTCTTACACTCTTCAACTCTCTCTTTCTGCTCTATCTTCTTGTTAACCAAACAAAGGATAACTGTTTGTCTATTATTAATTAAGTGCACATCAAAATGATCATAAACATTTGTTTTCAAAAACCTAAAGATTGAAAGTCAGTTACCATGTATTGTTACTTTTTTTGCAATAGCTAGTGAGATCTCTCTCACATACACACATAATGCATACTCTCACTGTCCCTCAATATGAGCTTAAGAGAACCAGACTTTTCCTTTGACTTCCAAGTCTTCCATAACCATTCTTTGTACTGAGGAAATATTACTGGCTTACTGCTGAGTGTATTGTTTGTCTGTTTTGACACTATTTGACATTTCACTATTATTTGGCGGTACTAGAGTAAGTTGATGAGATTCTCTTTACCAATTTTGGAAAGATGACTTTATTTAGGGTCTTCCCAAAAAGAATGCATGAACATTAAATAGAGAAGGAAGGAGTATATATCTATCACATATATTCAAAGTACATGCATAAGTGGGACTGTGGGACAGTGGGACAGTGAGAGTAGTACCTATTGAATATAAGATGCTCGAGTTTCAGTTGAGGTGATTTGGTCATGTGTGTGTAGAAGACTAAGTGATGCACTTGTTAGATGGACTGAAAGTTGGGTAGCAGAGGGAGGGAGAGAGGATAAGGAGGGGGTGACCTAGACAAAGGTGGAATATAGTCATCAAGAATGACATAATACTACTTGGGTTAGATGAGAACATGACTTTGGAGAGGACGAAGTGGAGAAGGAACATAGTGTGCAAGAAAGATCATTTGTTTGTCTCCCTCTTTCTATATATATTTGTAACTCCGATATCATATGTTGATTTGTTAGCTGACCCCATACTCTTTTGGGATTAAGGCTCTCATATGTTGTTGAATATGTTTATGTACGATATGATGATGGATTTTGTAATGCTAAAGTTCATAAAAACTCATGGATGGGACTGCCAAAAGTAGTTCGTAAGTCCTAGCATCTATCTTAGGCAAAATTGAATCAATTAAATGATCTTACAGTTTGAATGTCTAGATAATACCAATAAGCGAATGAATCTGAACTGCTTAAATGATCTAACTGTTGAAACCGTTGGCGTGTAACTTACTGGACATGAAGATAAAACTACACTTTCTATTTCAGTTTGCATGTGGTATGATAATAATGTTTGAGAAAATTATCTGTTATCACTTATCAAATACCATCAATCCCACGCGTTATGTTGTATCCCAAACATGGCGAGAAGCATAATAATAGATGAAAAGGTATTTTGTAATTTTTTTCTTCTTGCTATGTACTGTTCACTTTCTTTTCTTGCTTCTTGTCCTTGCATGAACTTTATTCGCTCTCTTCTTAGTACAGTGATAGCAGAGATAACAATGAAGTTTCTTACAGGTCCTCACTGAACCCAATAATGCTCTATGTAAGCAGTACAAAAAATTATTCAGCATGAACAAGGCAAGTAATGGCAACCCACAGATCTTCTGTGTGCAAATATGTGCCTCACAAATCTAATTGTGTGGGACTGATTGCACATCATTTATTCATTGCCCTCCCCCTCCCCTCCCCTCCCCCCACAAAAAAATAGGAAAAAGAATTGCATGAAAAAGAACCCCTCTTGACTAAGTTTCATTTGCTGTTTTAGTTCAGCGTTTGTAGTTAACACATGAATTCTTATCTATAGGTCAAGCTACACTTTACAGATGAGGCATTAAGATCTATTGCACAGAAAGCTATGATTAAAAACACTGGTGCTAGGGGGCTAAGAGCCATTCTTGAAAGTATATTGACTGATGCTATGTATGAGGTATACTGGCTTCAGGAGTGTACATGAAAACAACCAATGTGGGCAGTTTTCTACCAATTAATAATTTCTCATAATTATTATTGAATTTCACATGTGTGTAGATTCCTGATGCTCCCGAGGAAGGAGGCCAGAAAGTAGATGCTGTTTTGGTTGATGAAGATGCAGTAGGTTCTGCAACTGCTCCTGGATGTGGTGGTCAATTACTACGCGGAAGTGGTGCTTTGGAAGCTTACCTTGCTAATGCTCGGTTTAAAGATCAAATGGTAAATTTTGCATTGGCATAATATGCACTGGCTGTCTTTTTATTTATAAAAATAAAATGAAAATCTGAACTTACTTTTTAGCATTCTGACCATTGGATGAATATAATTAACCTACAGGAGGAAACAGTGGAAGGGGAGATGCAGGACAGGGATGCAGAAGCATCTTCCAGAGCAATGAGCATGTAAAATCAGCATGATCAATACATCACAAATGTGTATAAATTCCCTCAAATGTTGTAAATTTATCATTGTTAATGGTTAGTATATTGGTCCCCTTGCAATCAACAGTGTATGAGGGTTATAGTCACCACAGAAGATAATAAATAAGAACAATAGGACTGAATGGTGGGGACTGGGGAGGGCAATGTAATCTTATAACATCTAATTTTATTCAATAGCTGTAAAGATTCTTTGGCAATAAGGGAACGTAGAATTGTATGATAAGCCTCACATTTTTATGTTTTTATTTTTGTGTTTCTTGACAAGTGACAGACTAATTCATTTTCTCCACTATTTCTCCAAAGTCCAACCCCTTATTTTGTTGGAGGGGGTTTGAAGGGGATGAAAAGGGGAATTATTTATTTTTACTCTGCGTAAGCCTATGTGATCAACAATTCATCACTAAGACGTGTCTACAGTCTCCTGAAGAACATACAGTTTTTTAAAATGTGGGAAACTGCGCTCTGGTTCAATTAGCATTTGATTTTGTAATCGCAAAACTAGCGTATCGGAATTGGTTGGCCAGGGAACAACTGATCATCGTTCCATTTCGGCCTTTCGGGTCTTTGGGGCCAATCTGTATGACTGTATCCGACTATCTGTTATAGAATGGGTCCTCAAATTGGGATGTTGTTCGTATCTGTCACTAGAGCAGAAAGGAGCCACAAGCCCACAAATGTATAGCAGTACAGGTACAAATATAATAAGTGAAAGGACGAAGTGAATAAGATGGATCCAATTCATCCAAATAGAAGAAATGGTCATCTATAGAGTATAGACTATGGTACCATAGAGCTCCAGACGTAGGCGATGGTCTAATATCGTACAAGAGTATGAGACATTGAGAGTTGAGACGTAGGTCTCATTATATTAGGGGCGTAGCTCATCTGGTATGAAGGGATGCCATAGGCTCACAAGGAGAGGTCTCGGGTTCAACTTCAAGTAATGACTTGGGATAAAACCCTATTCTTTTCATCAAAGTGAAATCAAAGGTCAATTACATACTCCCAGATAACTGTCCAATCAGTACTCAGGGGTCCTAAGGATTCAGGAATGAGGTGTCATCTTTATGGTCTCGATATTTGTGAATAAAAGGATGCATTGAAGTTCGATTTGACAACCAAAGAAACCACATAGAAGGGAGAGTGTGAGGACCTGCAAAGACTTCAGAGTTTCAGATAAGATTTCACGAGAAAAAATTCATCAAGAAATGTGGTCATAGTAACCAGATGTTCAAATTCTTTGTAGTCATACCTAAAAGAATAGAAAAATGATTAAGGTACACAAAGTTTACATCATATAAAAGCAAAAAACATCCCATTTCACCCCCTCCCCCTTCTCTCTTCTTTCTCTCTTCCGCTTCTCTCACTTCTCTCTTTCCTCTTTACCCAGTTCCTTCCGAAAATTCTCAAAGAAAAAATGGGATGATCATTTTCTCTTCTTCATCTTCCTCTTCCCTTATTCATCCTCTTTTCTCTACCTTTTTATATCAAATTCTTTCCATTATTTGCACAAAATTAGTTTATTTATCTTATTTCATAGATTTTTATTATTTATATATATATATATATATTTTCAAATTACATGTAAATCGATCACACATACAACTACATCATTATTTTGGATGTATATAGACAATTAAATTTTGTGTTCACCCAAACCATTAAAATTGATCACACCGACAACTAAAGTTGATCACACACACAACTATTATCTGTGAGCCGCACGATTATTGTCTGTGTGGTAAATATTGTTTTTGCACAGAGACAAATAATTGTTTGTGCAACAGGAAAATATTGTCTGTGCACACAGGCACTGCACAAATATAGATTGATTTGCAAGCTGGTGTCAGTGTCAGGCGACTGTCAGTGTATTTTTTACATGAAAATTAATGTATGTGGACACAAGCAAAAGTTGTTTGTGTACACAGACAACTCTTGTCTGTGCACATGCAATTTCGTACGAAATGTCTGTGACCTACATTTTATGCACACATTGTGTATAACTTGTGTATCGGGAAAGACAATAATGATTTTCAGTAATAATCATAATTAATGAAACATAACAATCTCAACAATTTTTCGTGTACACATTTTTAGAGTAAAGGGCCAGTTTGGTCTTCGAAGTTCCATAAAATGGGTCAAATAAGTCCTTATATAGGAGGTTCTATCCGTCCGTCGCCATTTGGGGCGGTTCCCGGTGAAACTTTTTGATGAAATTTTTTGAGCATCTTATTCATTAAGTCTAGTTCACTCATACCAAATTTCATATAAAAGTTCAATCGGAAAGCCATCCAAATGAATTCTTGAAGATAATTTTGTAGTTAAAAGCGCAATTATCTTCAAGAATTCCTTTGAATGCCTTCCCGATTGAATTTTTAGCTGAAATTTGGTATGAGTAAACTAGACTTACTGAATAAGATGTTCAAAAAATTTTATAAAAAAATCCACCAGGAAACGCCTCAAATGGCACGTCCGGACAAAATCTTCTATATAAGGACTTATTTGATCCCTTTTATGCAACTTCGAAGACCAAACTGACCCTTTACTCCACATTTTTATATACATTTCAAATTCTTCAATCATATATATATTCTTATTCAATATCACAGACAATACATATTTACCACTTACATAGACTTTCATAAGTGTGCATGTACAAATGTGATTTGCTAATTATATACTTCATCCGTCCTATTTTATTTTTTGCCAAGTTTGGCTTTTCTAGTTAATGATGTTAAACTTTGATCGATTATATATCTATATATCATAATATTGATGATGTGAAAAGAATATGCAAAATATATTTTATTAAACATACTGTTGGGATATATTATCCCGGCCTATTACTGTTCATGAGTCCAAGGCTTTACGTAGTACGGAGCCTGAGCAGCTAGGCCCATTTCGGCCCATCCGGCCCACTTTAGCCATTTGGGCCCACTCCGGCCCATGCGGCCCATTAGGGTGGAGAGCATCCCCTTCCCCTATTCTCTATAAATATAGGAGTTTCCCTCCATATTATGGATCTTTTTCTTCTTCCTCCTTCTCACTAGAATAGCTTAGAACTCCATTAATGGGAGCTTCAATACTTGTACAATGTAATGGTGAGGAGAGTCCTAATGAGAAAGAGAGGGCTTGGACATTAGCCTAAAAAGTCCCGTGGTTTTCTCCCTTTCGGGTTTCCACGTAAAAACTGAGTGTTCATACACATTTATACATATATTTACTATATCGTGTTGGATTAAACTCAACACTGGCGCCGTCTGTGAGAATCTGTCCAAAAAGATTCATGTATTCTACTGTTCTTGAGTTTCTACAAGAAAGATTCATACGAAAATGGACTGATTCAGCAAAAAAGAAGGAAAGATGTTTGGAAGAGCTGGTTTCCAGCAAAGAAAAAAGAATGAAATGATTCTGAGGAAGGGAAGAAGAAGCCAGGAAGCTACGGAATCTGGGAAGCCAAAATCTGGAATTTACTCAGATCTGTTCTTGAGGTCGCCGGAGCCGCCGTGACCATCCCCGCCGCGGTGGACCTCCGGTGAGTCAGCTGCGTCAGGTGAAGCTCGCTGCAGCATCCCAGCTGTTTCCGGTGGCCACCGCCTGAGTCGCACACCGCAGCTCGAGCCTCCACCTCGTTGCTGACACGACCTGAAGGAATTTCCGCCATCAATGGCGGCTTGAAGCTCAAGGGAGGGACATTTTCGGAGCCCCGCCGGACCCCCACCAAGGCCGGCCGCCATCGCTTCCCTTGCGCCGCGGTAACCGGCCGTGCCGCCGTCGGTAAGTGGCATGCCCAAGCTGTTTGGCCTTGGGTCAGCAAACGGGTGTTTCAGTTCACCGATCAAATGCTATGGCTCTTAAAGGGCCACGTCCGAAGATGAATGGTAGCAGACGGGTAAAGCAGGAGAATTTTGGCCAAAGTCAAAGCCAAAGGGAATCAAAATAAATCTAACGTGTGTATTGCTGGCCGAGCCTCCTTTTCCAAAGCTAAGTGCTTAACTCCTTCACTTTTCATTGAAGCATGATTAATATTGCTACTGATTTTTATCACTATTATTTATTAGGGATTAAAACTCCCGAAATTAAATAATGAGAGCGATGCTCTAAGTGATAATTAGTTTTACCGTCATTTAAATTTAATGACTGGTTGTTGTGAGCCTGTGGGCCCACTCCTGTTTGGCTTTAATTAGCAAACGGAGCGTGTCTGAATGACCTGTGATAGGATAATATCAGTATTATTGCCTGTTATATCCCTATTATTTATTAGGGATAAAATGTCCCGAAATTAAATAATGCAGAGCGGAGCTCTAGTGATGATTAGTTCAGCTAACATTTTATTAAATGTTTAATTGCTTGTGGGCCCGTTGGCCCACTCTCGATCAGCTTGATTAAGCAGTCTGAGCGTCTCCAAAAGGGCGATGCCCCAACGACGCATTTTAATTTGAGGGTTGCACGTTAGTCCGCACGGCACTACGTGCCCGATCGACGATCGTACCCCAGTATCATCTACGCCATTAAGCGAGAAGTGACTCTTGCCAGACGCGGCCGGTGGGGCCTCGAGGGCACCAAAGCGCTCGGCCTCGTGTTTCCGAGGGCGGTGCGACCAACCTGGGTCTGAGTTTGAAAACTCACAGACCGATGAATATTTCTATGCGACGTCCGGCGGGCTGCTAATTGGCCCCGCCGCGAGCTGCTACGTCCATTAACCCCGCACGATGAGCCGGGCCGAGGGTCACGATGACCCATAGGCCGGTAATCGAGGGTGTTAGAGAGAAGGCCATGCAGATGGTTATGTGTGCATATTTATTGTCGGGCCGTGCGGCCCGTTATCATGCTTATTGCGTAGCTGAAGCCACTCGGCGCGCTGGAGCGAAATGATTAGAAGACGCTCGGCCCGAGTCTTGAAGACGTGCAGGGCCGGCTAAAGAGGAGACCATCACGGCTGAGGACCGTGAGACGAGCATCTCCACCTAGAGGCCGAGGGCCTAGAGGAGACCACCACGGTTGAGAATCGTGGGACGAGCATCTCCACCCCAGAGACCGATGGCCTAGGAAGAACACCTAGAGGCCGAGGATCTAGAGGCGAATGCCATGACAGAGAACCGTGAGACGATCACCCGTCATTCAGAGGCCGAGGGCCTAGAAGAGATCGTCACGGTCGAGGGCCGTCTGACGCCATCATTACATCATGACTGTCCCCTCGGCACGACATGATCATCATATTTGAAGACTGGCCTCGTCCCCGCGCTGCGCGGATGAGGACGTTGCTTGGATTTCAGATCGGCCTCTCATTGCCGACATCATTACATCATGACCGGCCTCTCGGCACGGCATGATTATCTTATTTGAAGACCGGCCTCGTCCCCGCGCTGCGTGGAGGAGGACCGTTGCTGGATCTCAGATCGGCCTCTCATTGCCGACATCATTATATCACGACCGGCCCCCCGGCTCGGCGTGTTTTCCATACTTGAAGATCGGCCTCGTCCCCGCTCCTCGCGGATGAGGACCGCTGATTATCTCTCTTTGGATCGGCCCCAGCGCCGACGTCATACACGGCCACCGACCTCCTGGTACGGTGCCACCATCATATTTGAAGACCGGCCTTGTCCCCGCACTGCGCGGACGAGGACCGTTGCTTGATTTCAGGTCGGCCTCTCATTGCCGACACCATTAAATCACGACCGGCCTCCCGGCTCGGCGTGCTTCCCATATTAGAAGACCGGTTTCATCCCCGCTCCTCGCGGATGACGGCCGTTGCTTGTTTTCTCAGATATGTCTCTCATTACCGATGTTATTATATCAGGATCGGCCTCTCACTGCCGACGCTATCATGTTATGTTCGGCCTCTCGGCACGACATATTTATCTTTTGAAGACCGGTTTCATCCCCGCGCTGCGTTGGATGAGAGCCGTTGCTCGGATAAATCGGCCTGACCGGACACTATTGTCATCTCCATTATCAGGACCGACTGCTCAGCGACATTATGATCATTGTATATCGGCTCCCAATGCCGACCTTCTTGAGTTAGCGATCGGGCTCACCCCTCCCGTCATGAGGGTGACCATCGCCTTCGCATGACATTATGCGTGACATCACTTATGGTTATTCTTGGAACCGACGAACGTATTTTCCTCCCTCAAAAAAAAAAAAAAAAAAGAAAAAAAAAAGAAGAAAAGGAAAAAAAAAAAAAGATGGGGAGAAGGGGAGACGAGATCCTATGAGAGAGGGAGTCTTGACGAGGTATGCCTGATCTTCCTTCGCCGCGTATGACGAACGTCTCCCGACGCGGAGGCTAGTAGGAACGTGGGGGGGGGGGGGCTAGACGTACCAAAGGGAACCTCGGCAAGATAAACCAGTTCCTCCCATGACCCGTGGTTCGATGAACACCTTCTGCTAAAGCAGAAGGCTAGTAGGGCCACGAGCATGGGACGACGAAGCAGGGAATCCCGACGTGGATAAACCAGTGACCTCCTTGCGATCGTTGGATGACCGAACGTCTTCTTCGAAGCAAGAAGATTAGTAGGACCACGACAGGGACGAACGAAGAATAGGGAATCCCGACGTGGATAAACCTGTTCCTCCTTGCGATCGTGGGATGACCAAACGTCTTCTTCGAAGTAAGAAGATTAGTAGGACCACGACAAGGACGAACGAAGAATAGGGAATCCCGACGTGGATAAACCTGTTTCTTCTCATAGTTGGGATGACGAACGTCTCCTGCGAAACCAGGAGACCAGTACTCACGAGACTTGGGAAGAACGAAGAACCAGTTCTTTACCGGAGTCTGTTACGTGCCGAGTGTACACCGCTTAGCGGTCCATACATAGGACCACGGATACGGTAGACGAACGAAGACCAGCTCCATGGATCCGACATGAAGAACCAGTTCTTTACCGGAGTCTGTTGCGTGCCGAGTGTAAACCGCTTAGCGGTCAATACATAGGACCACGGATACGGTAGACGAACGAAGACCAGCTCCATGGATCCGACATGAAGAACCAGTTCTTTATCGGAGTCTGTTGCGTGCCGAGTGTACACCGCATAGCGGTCCGTACATAGGACCACGGATACGGTAGACGAACGACGATCAGCTCCCCAGATCAGGTAGGAGGGACATCGCCCAGATTTATTTCAGGCTCACCATTCTTTCCCGGATGGAGTCCTGGCAGACGATCGGCTTCTCACAGCCAATCAGGAGAGAGACTTGACACATCACCAGCACGACCGAGGGCCGCGAGACGATTATCACTCACCGACAGGCCGAGGGCCATGAGATGATCATCACTATTTTTCTGTATCACGATCGGCCCGATAGCGCCATCGTGTCCAGATTCACGGTTCGGCTCGCCCATTCCCGTCCAGGGTGGCGACGAACGTCTTATGCATCACGATCGGCCCCTCAGCGCCATCGTGTCCGGACTCACGGTTCGGCTCGCCCATTCCCTCCAGGATGGCGACGACCGTCTTATGCAGTATGATCGGCCCCTCAGCGCCATCATACCCATTTCACGGTTCGGCTCGCCCATTCCCTTACAGGATGGCGACGACCGTCTTATGCAGTACGATCGGCCCCTCAGCGCCATCGTACCCAGCTCACGTTCAGCTCGTCCATCCCTTCCAGGGTGGCGACGAACGTCTTATGCATCACGATCGGCCCCTCAGCGCCATCGTGTCCAGATTCACGGTTCGGCTCGCCCATTCCCTCCAGGATGGCGACGAACGTCTTATGCATCACGATCGGCCCCTCAGCGCCATCGTGTCCGGACTCACGGTTCGGCTCGCCCATTCCCTCCAGGATGGCGACGACCGTCTTATGCAGTATGATCGGCCCCTCAGCGCCATCATACCCAGTTCATGGTTCGGCTCGCCCATTCCCTTCAAGGATGGCGACGACCGTCTTACGCAGTACGATCGGCCCCCTCAGCGCCATCGTACCCAGCTCACGTTCAGCTCGTCCATCCCTTCCAGGGTGGCGACGAACGTCTTATGCATCACGATCGGCCCCTCAGCGCCATCGTGTCCAGATTCACGGTTCGGCTCGCCCATTCCCTCCAGGATGGCGACGAACGTCTTATGCATCACGATCGGCCCCTCAGCGCCATCGTGTCCAGATTCACGGTTCGGCTCGCCCATTCCCTCCAGGATGGCGACGAACGTCTTATGCATCACGATCGGCCCCTCAGCGCCATCGTGTCTGGACTCACGGTTCGGCTCGCCCATTCCCTTCCAGGATGGCGACGACCGTCTTACGCAGTACGATCGGCCCCTCAGCGCCATCGTACCCAGCTCACGTTCAGCTCGTCCATCCCTTCCAGGGTGGCGACGAACGTCTTATGCATCACGATCGGCCCCTCAGCGCCATCGTGTCCAGATTCACGGTTCGGCTCGCCCATTCCCTCCAGGATGGCGACGAACGTCTTATGCATCACGATCGGCCCCTCAGCGCCATCGTGTCCAGATTCACGGTTCGGCTCGCCCATTCCCTCCAGGATGGCGACGAACGTCTTATGCATCACGATCGGCCCCCTCAGCGCCATCGTGTCCGGACTCACGGTTCGGCTCGCCCATTCCCTTCCAGGATGGCGACGACCGTCTTACGCAGTACGATCGGCCCCTCAGCGCCATCGTACCCAGCTCACGTTCAGCTCGTCCATCCCTTCCAGGGTGGCGACGAACGTCTTATGCATCACGATCGGCCCCTCAGCGCCATCGTGTCCAGATTCACGGTTCGGCTCGCCCATTCCCTCCAGGATGGCGACGAACGTCTTATGCACCACGATCGGCCCCTCAGCGCCATCGTGTCCAGGTTCACGGTTCGGCTCGCCCATTCCCTTCCAGGATGGCGACGACCGTCTTATGCAGTACGATCGGCCCCTCAGCGCCATCGTACCCAGCTCACGTTCAGCTCGTCCATCCCCTCCGGGATGGCGACGACCGTCTTATGCAGCACGATCGGCCCCTCAGCGCCATCGTGTCTCTTTCACGTTTGGATCGCGCATCTCTTCCAGGATGGCGACGAACGTCTTATGCAGTGCGATCGGCCCCTCAGCGCCATCGTACCTGGCTTCACGGTTCGGCTCGCACATTCCCTTCAGGATGGCGACGACCGTCTTATGCAGTGCGATCGGCCCCTCAGCGCCATCGTACCTGGCATCACGGTTCGGCTCGCACATTCCCTTCAGGATGGCGACGACCGTCTTATGCAGCACGATCGGCCCCTCAGCGCCATCGTGTCTCTTTCACGTTTGGATCGCGCATCTCTTCCAGGATGGCGACGAACGTCTTATGCAGTGCGATCGGCCCCTCAGCGCCATCGTACCTGGCTTCACGGTTCGGCTCGCACATTCCCTTCAGGATGGCGACGACCGTCTTATGCAGTGCGATCGGCCCCTCAGCGCCATCGTACCTGGCTTCACGGTTCGGCTCGCACATTCCCTTCAGGATGGCGACGACCGTCTTATGCAGCACGATCGGCCCCTCAGCGCCATCGTGTCTCTTTCACGTTTGGATCGCGCATCTATTCCAGGATGGCGACGAACGTCTTATGCAGTGCGATCGGCCCCTCAGCGCCATCGTACCTGGCTTCACGGTTCGGCTCGCACATTCCCTTCAGGATGGCGACGACCGTCTTATGCAGTGCGATCGGCCCCTCAGCGCCATCGTACCTGGCTTCACGGTTCGGCTCGCACATTCCCTTCAGGATGGCGATGACCGTCTTATGCAGCACGATCGGCCCCTCAGCGCCATCGTGTCTCTTTCACGTTTGGATCGCGCATCTCTTCCAGGATGGCGACGAACGTCTTATGCAGTGCGATCGGCCCCTCAGCGCCATCGTACCTGGCTTCACGGTTCGGCTCGCACATTCCCTTCAGGATGGCGACGACCGTCTTATGCAGTGCGATCGGCCCCTCAGCGCCATCGTACCTGGCTTCACGGTTCGGCTCGCACATTCCCTTCAGGATGGCGACGACCGTCTTATGCAGCACGATCGGCCCCTCAGCGCCATCGTGTCTCTTTCACGTTTGGATCGCGCATCTATTCCAGGATGGCGACGAACGTCTTATGCAGTGCGATCGGCCCCTCAGCGCCATCGTACCTGGCTTCACGGTTCGGCTCGCACATTCCCTTCAGGATGGCGACGACCGTCTTATGCAGTGCGATCGGCCCCTTAGCGCCATCGTACCTGGCTTCACGGTTCGGCTCGCACATTCCCTTCAGGATGGCGACGACCGTCTTATGCAGCACGATCGGCCCCTCAGCGCCATCGTGTCTCTTTCACGTTCGGATCATGCATCCCCTCCAGGATGGCGACGAACGTCTCATATGCAGCACGATCAGCGCCCCAGCGCCATCGTGTCTGGCTCGTGTTCGGCTCGCCCATCCCTTCCAAGATGGCGACGAACATCTCTTATACAGCTCGATTGGCCCCTCGGCGGCATCATGCCTAGTTCACCTCCGGCTCCGCCCATGCCATCTCGGATGGGGGACCCGTCGTATGCAGCATGATTTCCCCTTTCGGCGGCATCATGTCTAGTCCACCTTCGGCTCCGCCCATGCCATCTCGGATGGGGGACCCGTCGTATGCAGCATGATTGGCCCCTCGGCGGCATCATGTCTAGTCCACCTTCGGCTCCGCCCATGCCATCTCGGATGGGGGACCCGTCTTACGCAGCGCGTCTGCTTCTCGGCGCTGACATGCCCGGGTTATCGATGAGAGCTACTGCTTCTATCACATCTTGCATTCCCTCTCTCATACATTACATACATACATTACATGCATACATACATTCATGCATCATACCTCATACATTCATACATACACACGTGCATCATGTTTTGACAGTACCGCGACGTCGGTTTATAGATGATGGACCTCTAAGCTTCTCCGATTGGAAAGCTCGAGTCAGAGTTCTTTACTCCCGCCTGATGCATTCAGGGGGAGTGTGCCCGTGGAGGAGCACCCTTCGCCCGACCCTGTCGGGAAGGGGGGTGCCTCACTGGTAGATTACGTTCAGGAGTGCAGACACTCACTCATATATGATGATTATGTGAAGACACAGTTTCCAGCAAGACAGAGGAAGAGCGCAGGCAGAGTATATTTTCTCGAGCAGATTCGCGGGCTCACTACTCAAGAAACTGGGGGACTTGTGTTGGGATATATTATCCCGGCCTATTACTGTTCATGAGTCCAAGGCTTTACGTAGTACGGAGCCTGAGCAGCTAGGCCCATTTCGGCCCATCCGGCCCACTTTAGCCATTTGGGCCCACTCCGGCCCATGCGGCCCATTAGGGTGGAGAGCATCCCCTTCCCCTATTCTCTATAAATATAGGAGTTTCCCTCCATATTATGGATCTTTTTCTTCTTCCTCCTTCTCACTAGAATAGCTTAGAACTCCATTAATGGGAGCTTCAATACTTGTACAATGTAATGGTGAGGAGAGTCCTAATGAGAAAGAGAGGGCTTGGACATTAGCCTAAAAAGTCCCGTGGTTTTCTCCCTTTCGGGTTTCCACGTAAAAACTGAGTGTTCATACACATTTATACATATATTTACTATATCGTGTTGGATTAAACTCAACACATACTATCATAAAAATATAAATTTATTACGTTTCACATATATAGGGGAGGGGGTGTTTGGATCTGATTCTCTAAACTGATTCTGCTCTTTCATGGAGCAGAAGCAGAAGCTGGAGTGTTTGGGTGAAATTCCAGAAGCACTTCTGAAGCTCTAATTTACTCTCAGAATAAGTTTTTTTAGAAGCTGGGGGGTACCAGCTTCTGAAAACTGATTCTGATTCTGCTTCTGCTTTTAAAAAAGAAGGAGAAGCAGAATTAGTTCCAAACACCCCATATTAGTTAAAATAATTATCAAAATTTACCTTCCACTACAAAAGTCAAAGTTAGGAGGTGTTTGGAAGGATTTTTTAAAATAGAATCAGAATCCATCCAACTTTAAAAAAAAGTGATGGGAGGAGTAAATAAAAGTGATATATGCCGGCCCTCCTTCAGTAACTGATACCTCCGCCGCTGCAAGCCTGCAACCGCTTCGCTTTTAAAGCATCTCCTATTCTACTATTACTGTGCCATAGCCCGTAGCCACTCGCCCACTCTAATCCGTTTCGTTGCCACTGACTGAGGTTTTTTCTTCTGTTCCATTATTATTTACAGCATCACTTTAGAGCAGAAAGTTGCCAACGATGAACAAAAAAAATTATTTGATAAAAGAATTCTACCGTTTCTATGAAATGAAGCTTTATACAACATTTAGGATCACTTTTTACTCTACATCTATTCCGCATCTTCTTTGATTAAAGGGATAGTTTTCACAGTTTGCTAAAGTTTGACCTTTTTTTAGAATCAAACGGCTCCGATGAACCATATCTGAGTAGAGTCAGTTATAGGAATTAGGAAATAGGTTAGATAATGGGTTAGGGAATGGTGGTAATAATACATATTTACCCCAATGAAAGTATGATATATTTAATTTATTGGGGTTAAATCTTTACGATTACCACCTGAACCAATGGCTGCCCCATTCCTCACTCTTCAGTTTAATAATTTGCTTGTACTTCTGTTGTTCCTGAAAAAAAATCAGCTCAAGGATAGAGCTTAGTGGTTCTTCAAAAGTGAGTGGAAGTATGGAGATAATTCAAGAAACAGGGAGTCTGGAGAAATACATAGTTGGGTCCGTGCCAACCCTAATCTACATTCCAAACTTCATCTCAGACATTGAAGAAGAGCAGCTTGTCAAGAATGTAATGCATTCCCTAGTCATGTTATTTGGCCTCTTCTTTTAAAATGTATTGGTAACTTCGATTTTTTAGAATGCAAATTTCTTCCTTTTCTCTCTAGATTTATGGAGCTCCTGTTTCCAAATGGAAATCTTTAAAAAACAGGAGGCTGCAAAATTGGGGTATATATGGAGTTTTCTTCATTCCTTTCACTTCCAATCTGTTTTATCAGTATGGGTAAGTTTGGAAGAAATGTTGAACAGTTGCAGTGTAACAGCTATATGGTCATTGCAGGAGGCGTTGTACACGAGAAGGGTCTTATAGCACAAGACTGTACGTCTTGTCTTTTTATTCCTTTCTTCTGTTTCTATGAGATTCATCTATTTTATGATTTAATTCATTTTCAAAAAGATCCATGGATATCTATGCTGTTCTAGCAGAGCTTTATTCTTGGACTGTAGACATGGAATCATCAGTGGCAGAAAGTTTAATGCTAATAGATTACTGCACTCTATGAGGCATGCAGTAGTGCAGTAAATAAACATATTGAAATATGATCTCTCTTATTTGAAACAGCTTCCTTTTCTGTGAAATACATGAAT